AGCAGCCCGGCGCGAGTCCGCCCCGCCGCTGCGGCCGGCGCGGGGGCCCCATGTGAGGCGGGAGCCCGGCTGCGGGACCCGGGGCCGCGACCGCCGGCTCCGCCTCCGCCTCCTCCTCCCCACGAGCGCCCGCCCACAGCGCCGGGGCGGGAACCGGCCGGGAGCCGCCCCTCGCCGCCAGCCAATCGGCGTCAGGAGAAGTGTGATGGACAGTGTCTGTCGACCAATGGGAAAAGGAAACCGGGCGGAGGGATTCGCGGGCAGTCCGCGTGAATACCCCTTTCCAATTGGTCGTGAGCGCTTGAGCGACACTCCATCTGACCAATCACAGCAGCGACAACAACTCCCCGAGAGACGCGCGGGAGGCAGCGGCAGGAAGACGAGGGGGCGTTGCTATGGGCGCCTCGCTCTCATTGGTCAGCTCCTGAGGGCGGGTTATAAATAAGAGAATCAGCCAGTAAGAGCGCGGGGCGCGCAGTGATGGGCGGGCGGGACAGCCAATCACCGTGTGTCTTTAGCGGCGGTGGCTGAAGCTGTCAGTGGGGAGGGCGCTCGGATGTCCCGAGTCTGGTCCCGGTCCCGGTCCCGCTCCCAGTCCCAGTCCCGGTCCCGGCCCCCGCCCCATCCTTGAGCCCGCGGTGACCGCAGCTGGGCTCCACGGTGGCGGCCCTGCTGTTACTGCCTCTCCCTCCCCGTGCCCCGCTCGGTTTCCCTCAGGGCCCGTCCCTTCCTCTGGTCTCCTCCCGTTCTTCCCATCCGCCTTTCCCCTCTCCCGGTGTCGGTCCCACGGCTCGGCCCCCCCGGTCCCGCCTGGAACGTGTTTAATTCAGCCGAGCTATTGCGGGGGCTCGGCTGCCAAGATGAAACAAGCCTGGGGTTTCTCACATGAAAACTGCTATTTTTCAAATTATCGCTTATCCCCTTGCAGGCAGGCTGTAACAGGTATGGAAAAAGACACCTTTCTTCCTGCTGCGACGCGCTGCCAGACTCCAAGTATCCGTTCCAAAGCACGGCAGGACTAAAACCTCTCATTAAACATTTGTGAGGGGGATTTGGTTTTGGTTTACATTGGCCAGAGGCTGATTTTTTCCCTGACCTCATCTTTGGCAGAGGCTGAGCTACTTTTACTGAAAGTCTTCAACAAACGAAGTTCATTTACTATACAGTCATGGATAGAATGACCAAAGCCCAAACAGTTAAAAACCAGAGGAGTTGTAAATAAAAAGGGTCTTGGGCAAGAATGTGTCACTCAGCTTTGCCATACCATAATAAAAGTAAGTTTTCTCATTATCATTCATCATTAATTTTACATCTAGTCTTTTCAGTGTGGTCGAAAATGTGCTTGAGGGAGTTTGATGTTGGACGCATTAGCACCAGCTCTAAATACTGAACAGAGACTTTTCCTTACAGTTGGATTAAAATCTCTCTATTCTGCAATTCTTGATTAAATTTAGTCTCAGAATTTCAGTCAAGAGTCAACAGTGAAACTTTCCCCATATGTTTAACTACAAAAGCTGATATCATCTTTGCACAGGTAACAGATTAAAAGTACTTTGTGTGGGGACAAAAAATGTCTTGTTTTCTTAATTTCCTTCACAGGAAATTTTCCCACACTCACAAATGTTAAATATCAACCACCTGCAAACAATTATTGTAACGACAGCTCGAACACAGGGTGCAGCAAAGCTTTAGTAATTAAGCCATGAAAAATGATTATTGTATCCATCATATTTTAAAGAGTGACAAAGCAGATGGAACTACCCAGATCCATGAGTCTCTTTTCTTTATATTGAAGCAGAATTAAGTCTCAGAAAAAGGGGTTTTAGAAAGATTTTTTCTTTAGAACTTTTTTTTAAATTAAATTTCAATGCTTTATATTTTGCTGGGATTTACCTCAGCAAGATTTTGTGAGGTCAGCTCTGGGACATCCCGGGGTCCTTCGCCATGTCAGGGTCCAGCGATCCCTGCGACTTTGTTCCCCGTTTAAAACCCCAGTATCTCCCAGTTCCCCGGTATCCCGGTCCCTGCTGGTTTGGGTGCTGTTAGCTGGCTTTAAGATGACATCTGGTGGTAGGTTTTGATTACCGCTCTTTTTAGGGACTCAGCCCAGAACTACGCAAAGGAATTACCGTTCCCCTGTTTCCCATCAAAAATTTACCTCCTTTTTGTTTCCCAAGCAAGATGCGTGTAATTCCTGCTTTTGGGCTGCGAATATCCAGGAATGAGCACTAATCCCGCAGTCTGGGGCAAAGTAACATCATGGAAACCCACCAGAGAAGTGCAGGAAAGCTGAACCTCGGCTGGAAACACCCGCATTGTGTCCCATGGGTGAGGTCCGGGTCTGAGAGGGCAATAAACCACCTTATGAGCCCTCATCTCCACGGCAAGTCCCGCTTTTGAAAGCAAAAAAGGTCGGGCAGTGCTGCAGCACTTTGTGTGGCTGAGTCCCCGTCCCCTCTCGCAGAAGCACCGGGGCAAATCCACAGCCTTGGAACCTGCAGGAGACAGAGACTTCTGCAGCCTCCCTCTGCTTCCTAGCGAGAGGAAAATGAACTCCGCATTGTCAGACTCATCAAAGACTCATCCAAGGCAAAGCCTGGCAGATGTCGCAGCGCTCCCGGTGGTGCCGATCTCCTCTCCATCCCAGCCTGTAAATCCTGTGCTCAGGGTGGGTATTCATTCATTCATTCCCTCTCCAGGCTGCTCCACGCGAAGATCGGCCACTCCAACAAGCAGCTCTGTGCCTTTGCAGCTTGCACCTCTCTCCTCCAGAAGGATCACTTTGGCTTTTTTAATGTAACTGCTTTGGCAAAGGAGCAGCGGAGGGCTGGTTTTACACCAAACCACTCTCGGCTGGACATAAAAACAGACAGGAGAAGTTGGGTGAGAGCAGGCAGAAGGGGGAATTCCCTTCCTCCGGGGTCTGGAAATGCCCCGGAGGAGAGAAGTTTGGGAGATTTCTCCTTCCCCAGAAGACAGCTGATGCAGTGAATTCACGTAAATTTGCCCCCACTGCAGCAGAGCAGCTGTTTTCCCCAGCAGAGGTTCCGTGGGCTCCAAAATTAAACAAGTGTCACACGACAGGGATTGTCTCTCTTCCCTCTCAAGGGACCAAGACAGTGGTTTGACCTCACAGTATTGTGATGAGATTGGGCATTTTAGTGATTTAACCCAATAAATACTTTAGGTCATGAAACCTTTCAAGAAAAACCATCTTTGGATAGGATTGATCAAATTCTGCTCTGATTTACTCCCGTGGAGAACTGAAATCATGTCACAGGAGCTGAAAGAGAGAGTCCCCATGGGAATTCCAGGAGTTTGCTGTTGATTAATGCCAATATAGGTCCTTTTCTAACTCCTGTCCTAGGTGGACATTTAACAGAACACCCATGAAAAAATGATGCCTTTAGGTTTTCAGTCACACACCAAACCCCTAGATTTGGAAAACCATTTTAATGGGTTCCCTGTGAGGAACATTCTCCTACACATGCCTCCCTCAGCCAGCCTTGCAGGTGGCCTTTGCAGAACAGGGACAAGTTTGCTTGTGGGCAAGAGGGCATTTCCTGCTGCTCTGAGCAGGGGAAGGCACAGCTGGGGCTGTGCTCTGCCCCTTGCCCCTTGTCTTGGCATGCCCACGCTCCTGGCAGCAGGGAGGGCTCCGTGGGGGCAGCCTGCACGCTGTCCTCTGCACAAGGATGAACCTGCCTGCCCAAGTGGGTTATTAACAATTCTGTTAATTGGTGGCCAGTGTGTCCTTGTGCTCAAAGCCGTGCTGCCATGTCAGCCCAAACCCACCAGCACACGTCTCTGCACCTGGCAGCTATGGGAATGTCAGAGCATCTTCCGTGTTACTCCTCCAGGAGGCTGGGCAGAGCCCAAGCAGGGGGCTGGCACAGCACCAGACACCCTGCCTCAGGAACTGGAAGGGGGTGTTCCAGGGCAGATGGGTTTGTCCAAACTGACAGCTCCTGTGCTGGCACTGGTGCTGCAGTCTTGTGCTCCCCTGCCTGCCCATCATGGCCATCTGCTGCCTTGGCTGCAATGCAGAGCCTGCCCACCCTGGCACGGTGCTGTGGCATGGCTGTCACCAAGCTCCTGGCAGTTCCCTGGCTGTGTGACCAGCTGGCTCCCCTGCTCTGAGGAGCTCCCAGCCAGGAGGCCGTGCAAACACTGGGACAACGAGCCAGGACTGACCCCGTGCCACTGTGCCTTGCTTCAGCCCTGGGCAGAGCCCTTCCCACCATGCTCCAGGTTTTAGGAGCATTTAGGTTTCCCAGATCCTTGGGATCTGAGGAGCAAAGGGTGAGACCCCAATACTCAGAGCAGGCCTGGGACACGGCTTCTCTCAGCAGCATCTGAACTTTTGAGATGTCTGAATACCAGTCTTGTAGGGGAAAACCTTAAACATCTGACAAAGCTGCATTAGCTTTGTATTCACCCACCAAAGTGCAGAAATACAGATTTGCACTATCTTGGACCATGGTATGCTAAAAGAGGCCACACAGTCCTGTGAACATCAAGGCCAACAGGCCAATGGCCATCAGTCCCACCTCTCCTGCCTCACGCTGAGGCACAAAAGGGATTCTGCATTGCCTGGTGTGCTGTCCTCACTCCCCAGCTAAGGCAGGCTATCTCTGGGATGAAAGCACAGCTTTTTGTGTCCTCAGGCTGCACAGCAGCCTCTCCTCCTCTGGTTATGCTCCTCACACTTGCACTCACTCCTTATCTCTGCAGATACAAGAGTGAAGAGACTTTTCCCTTTTGTGGTCCTGAAATTGGAGACCTCTGCAACCACAGGGCTCTTCAGCTTGTCCCCCCCACCAGCCACCCCAGGCTTGGGCAGCTTTAGCTCTGCCCCTGCTTTCTCCAGCCCTTTTTGCAGAACTGTAGGACCTACAAGTATCCAGATGCTACCAGATCCCTGCTCAGCTCTCGGAGAGATCCCACTCCCTGATCAGCCTGCCCCCAGATACATTTAGGTTTCCCAGATTCTTAATTTTCCCTGACTCCCTGAGCCAGTAGAGTCACAGTGTTAATTGTTCCTTGCCCAAAATGAGTGTCCAACTCTTATGCTTTGCTGTCTGATCCACGGTTTTTTGGGATTTTTTTTTCAGTTTTGTTCTTCCTTTCTTCCTTTGCTGGGCTACCAAGCTGTGGAGAGCTCTTGGCACAGAAGATGAGTCAGGACAGATATGCAGAGGGAAGAAGATGATATTCCAGCCTTGAAATCAGGTTCACTGCCTGCGTCATTGTTATTAAAAATAGATGAATGGCAGTGCTCCTCGCATTGGAGGAGAGACACAGGAGATGTAATATCCTGGGCTGCTGAGCAAATGCTCCCTCTGTCTGCCTGCAAGTCCCCCAGTGGCATCTTCTGCTCTTTGATAGATTCTCTTTTCTTGGCTCTGACTTGTGGGATTTAATTTGCCTTTCATAAAAAAACCCAAACTGGTTTAACATTTCAGCTTTGGGAGGGGGAATGACTCACTCAATGATTAGCTCTTCTGCTCCAGTCAGTTGACTTCCAGCTTCCTTGAGAATTGAAAATCCCTACAAGTGCCAAGTTGTCTTCCTTTGAGAGCAGGCCCTCTCCTTGTTCTGTACCAAAGAGCTTCTGGAGGATGAAAGCAGCTGTCTAGGGATGATACCTGGCCCTGTCTACCCCAGGACCACCCTAATCATGCCCCCTCCCCTCAAGGGGACAGGCTGGGATCTGCTGGGCTCTGCAAGGCCAGGCTGAGATGTGCACCAGTTGTGCCCCCAGTGCAGAGGGGAGAGAGGCCAAAGCACAAGACATGGGATGATTTACATGAGCCCAGAGCTCTGGTGAACCACCCACCTGCCCAGAGGCATCCCTGTGCTCAGGACTCCAGCCTGCTGGGCTGGTGAGACAGGTGATCACCCTTCAGATTTTGTGGGGCTGCAGGTGATGGTGGCAGCGAGGCCAAAGCTCTGCCCACTCGGGGGGCACATCCTGTGTCATACCCTGGGCTGGGGGGCACAGCCCAAGGACTGAGTTTACTTGTCTTTCCCAGGGCCAGCACTTCCACCCCTCCTGCCTGTGCCCTCACTTCCCCTCAGCTCTTTTGCTGCCACTATTTTCTATTCACTTATTTTCTATGATCCACTTCTTCCTATTAAATTACTATTACCAACATTATCATCTCTGGTCTGCTCCAGGACTTGGCTGGCAGCCAGGAAAAAAAGCATGGGAGCTGAATAGAGCCACTGCAAGAGGGAGGTGTGACAGTGGCAGAAGTTGATGTTGTGGTTTTTGAGCACAAAACTTTCTTTCAAAAGTCATTCTAAGTCCTCAGCTCTCAGTGCTACCCAGAGCTGTCTGATCCAGACACTGCTGGGGCTTGCAAGGGTGTTTTCAGTCTTACTCAAGAACAAGCCAAGAGCCTACACAGACATGGGGGCTGCTGCCTGCTGTCTAAGGGGAATGGTTTTGCTTATTCCATGAAAAAGTAGCTATGTACCAGTGGGACGTTAGAGTTCCCCTTCTTTTTGCTCCCTTCTCCAGGGTGGGACATCGACATCGGTAGTGTCATCTTAAAGACATTATCACACAGATGCTGTCCCTTTTCTTGCTCTCAATTGCTCCTTCCTTGCAATGGGGAGCCAAAGGTACCTCATTAGTGTGTTAATAATAACCCTGACGAGTGCGGAGATCAGCTAAATAATAGCAGTGACCTGCAGGGGGTCTCATCTGCCCAGATTTATGGTGCTGCTCACCAACCCCTCTGAGGACTGCCAGCCCCCTTCCTCCTTGTCCCCCAGCTGTTGGAAACACCCCGTGCAGTGTCTATGTGCTTAATTAAAGCAGAGGGACCGGTAACCTTGACGACTGCGAGCCACCCTCTGTAAGCCAGCCGAGGTGGATATTGTGGTTTTGGCGTCTCCAGGGAGAGGCCAGAGCAGAGAAGTGAGCCAAGCACACAGGCACTGGATGCACTCATGAGCCGTGGGCACAGCCAGCAGTGCCAGTGTCCCCTGGAGCTCGTGCCCTGCTCAGGGGTGGGTGCCTGGGGACATGCCCTGGTCCCTCGCTGGTGAGATGTGGCCCCTGCTCGGGTGATGCACAGTGCAGCACTGAGGGACCCAGCTATCTGGAGAAAAGGAGGCTTTGGTCTGTTGGGTAGCCCTGCAAGCTCTGTGGGTAGTAAAAACTCCTATGACCAACTCCATAGATGTAAATATGCTTAAAAGGATTCCCCTTAGAACTGGGACTTTTGTACAAGCACAATTACCTCTGCCAGAAAATGGTACAGCTAGTTTTCCTGGCAGTAAGGAGCGAGCAACTAGAAACACATTTCCCATGAGGGGCTAAGATTGAATTTTACTTTTTCTTATAAAGCTGGTAAAAGGCATGATGAGTTCTGCATCAGATCAACTCTCTTCTACCTCAGAACTGAGAGCAGGAGCTACCAAGCAGCTCCATATTGAAAAAAAAGGAGGCAAAACCTCTTGGGTTTATACCCATTTCTACTTTCCTCCTCTGTCCCCTGCAGGCACAGGGATCTGGGAGAAGGGGACCCATGATCCCATCTCTGCCAAAGCAGCCTGAGAGAGGATCAGCACAGACCCTCATCAGCCATGACATGGGGCCCCCTTCTTCAGAAACACTGCCCAGAAGAGAGCAGTCAGACTTCCCGAAGGATGGCTCAGCCTGGAAGTGCCTGGATGAGGCTGGCCAGCCCTCCAGCGGCTGGAAGGGATGTGAAACCAGGGGATGTCCCAGGGGCTGCAGGATGCCCGGAGGAACCAGCCATGGCACATTGAGCACCCGGCTGAGCCCTGGCCAGGGCAGCTACCCAGGGGTGCTTGGAGCACCTCTGCACCCAGCTGTGCCCACAGACCCAGGCACCCTGAAAGTGCCCGGAGGCCCCAAGATGATGTCCCCCGTTGGGCTCATCTGCTGTTCCCACCCCTGCATGGAGCAGAAGTGGGGTGTCAAGCTCATCTGGGGCTGCCAAGAGCAGATTAGGAGGTGGTGAGATCCTCATCTAGGGTCACTTGAACCACTGGCTATGGGGTGATGAGGTGGTGCAAACCTGGGCTAAGGATTCCCAGAACAAAGGCGGGACTGGGGGTGTCCTGTCCGAACCAGGAGTGCCGGGGACCAACTGGCGATGCCGGGGACGGTGCGAACCGAACCGAGGGTGCCGGGGACCGAACCGGGACTGGGCCGAGAGCGCGCTGTCCCACACGGGGATGTGGGGCACCGGGTGGGCAGCTGCCCCCTCCCCGCTCCTCCGGGGCCGGGCTGCACCACGTGCCGCCCGGCTCCGCCTCGCCGCCGCCTGCTGCCTGCTCTGCGCCCTGCCAGGTACCGGGACGACCGCCGAGGGGTGCCGGGGCGGGGGGGCTGACCGAGGGGTCCCGCCGGTCTCGCCGCGGCGGGGAGCGCAGCGCCGGGACAGCCGTCGGGGCAGCGCCGGGAGCCGGGCTCCTCCGCCCGCTGGTGGGGCTGCGGGACAAGGGTCTGGAGAGCCCCCACCCAGGGCTCCCCCTCCGCGGAGCAGCTCCCCGGGCTGCCCCCCGAAATCGGGCGAAATGCCCACGGACCCGGGCGCCGTCTCCCCGGCGTTCCCGCAGGTGAGGCGGCCCGAGGATGCTCGGGGGGGTCCCGGGTGCGCCCCGCGCTCCGAGCGGCAGCGCGGCCGCCGGTCCCGGCCTTGCCCATACAAGGCAGCTGCCGGCAGCGCGGCTCCCGCCGGCGGAGCCAGCCGGGCTCGCCTCCCGCCCGGCGGGATCCCGAGGGGATGCGCGGAGGGGGGCGGCGGTCCTGGAGGCGCTCGCCCTCCGGCATCCGGCCCTGCGAGCCTCCCGCCGGCAGCTCGGGGTGCCTCCGAGCCGCCGCTGAGCTTCCCCCCGAGGGAAGCCCGGACAAAGCCCGAACTCTGCCGCCTCCCGCAGCACGACGGGACGAGGGCCCCGTGCCTGCGGGGAGAGGGGCAGGACGGATGGAGCTGCTCGGGACGGAGCAGGAGCCAGAGCCCGGCCCCAGGCAGACTCCCGGGCCGTGTTTGGGCTCTGCTCTGGGATCAACACGTCCCCACGTGGGCAGACGCGGTGTGCGGCGTGGCGCTGACAGCCCCGTCCGCGACAGCACCGAGCCTTGCCGCGCGGCTGGAGCGTGCCCCACTCGGGGGGCTGTCACCTTCGCCGTGACCCTGGTAGTGACAAAGGCTCTGTGCAGTTCAGGGACTTGCCTGGGGCACAGAAAGCAAAGCGTGTTTCTTCTTCTTTGTGGTTGAGAAAAACCCTTGGCCAGTCCCTGGTCAGATCCCAGCGCCGTGACGGCAGCAATAGAGACTAGTGGGTGACACACAGAAACTCAGTTTATAATAACTAATTAGGACTCGGAAAACCCTAGAATAGATGCCTGTGGGGCTGAGCCCCAGCAGCGAGAGCAGCACTCAGGATGAGGTTTTGGGTGCCGGATGCGGCTGGGTTTGAGGCTGAGCCCTGGGAGCGGTCCCAAACCAGCGCCCTTTATGTGGGCGAGCTGCGCTCCCCACACGAGAGTGGCTGTGCTGCGATGGGCTGCGGGGAGGTGACCGGCCACTGGCAAAGCAAGGATTCAGGATTTCCATCGCCGAAAGGAGGAGGAGCTCTGAGCTGCCGGGGGCTGTGTCCTGGATCCGTGTCTCACACTCTGGGCACACTGGGAAACCCCAGGGAGCCCCTTGCCCCAGCTGGCTCATAGGAACCTTCTTGCTGCAAAGTCCGAGACTCAAACTGACAGAATGTACCAGAAATTAAGATTGCGCTGAGTTTTTCCTGGGATCTTTGTTGCTTAGTGCCCCAATCCAAGATTCTTCACAGTCTCAGGAAATGGTACCTATGCAGCTGACCTGGCCCTTGCCCTCATAACTTTTCAATCCCAACTGTGGTTGAAAGACCAGATGTTTTGTGAAAATAGAAAATAAATGGAAGAGATGCTGCCAATAACAAAATGCCCCTTAGCAAGCATAACCCATAATAAAACACCAGAAAATCTCAGCAGGACAGTGGTGGGAGAAAGGAACAGTTTGCCCAGAGATTAGCCCCAAACTCAGCAGTCCCAGACAAATTTGTCCAAAACTGGGCTTGTCCTAGCTCCGTGAGCTACTCTCTGCACTGCTCCCAGCACAGATTCCCTTTGCTCCTGCTGTCTGGCAGTGCCTGCTCCCACTCCCCTCTGGGTTTGCAGCAGGGGCTCAGGCTGCTGCTCTCCTGTGCTCTGCCCACCCCGGCCTCTGAATGCAGCCTTTCTTCACAGCCTGCGGAAATCCACTTCCTCCAGCACCATCAGCCTTACAAATAAAACCCCGAGTAATTTTGGTCTGGGCATTTTTCTGCCTCTCCCTCCCGTGCCGAGCTGCCTTGCAAGCACTGAGAGCAGAGCAGGGCTGGGAGCAGCACGAGCACATGGAGCCCTGTCTGTGGGCACCACCGGGGCCATGCACACAAGCAGGCAGTGTGTCTGCCTCAAGGTCCCACTGACGATTTTCCGTGATTTTTTTCCCTTTGTTTGCCCAGGGCAAGGACAAGTGGGTGGACTTGGCCCCACCCTGACAGGCCAGCTCCAGCTCTGCTGCACCCAGACCTGAGCCACAGCTTGGTCCTCTCCTCTGGGTGTTTCCTCCAGCTGTGTGACCCTGCACTCCCAGCCCAACCTTTCATGTCATGCCATCACTCTTTGATGCCATCTCTACACATGATTTTCCCTCAGCCCCAGGGGCAGGGTGGGCCTTTCTCCCTGCTACCCTTTTAAGAAGGCTTGACCTGCTGGGCAGAGGCAAAACACTCACCTCCTCCAGCTCCCTTGGCTCCATCCCTCCAGACAAAGGGGAGCAGGGATGATCTAAAGTACAGAAGCCCCTATCCTTCCTTCCTTTCCACCTAGACCCTCTGGGTGGGCAGACACAGTTCTTGCTGCAGGGTTTTCCATTGGTCTGTGATCATCCCCACAAAGCTCTCTGGGGCAGCTTCCATAGGGCTCAGTGCCACTGAGGTCTAGGGTTACATCCTGAGCCCTGTAGGGCTGCCCAGGGCAGGGCAGGATGCATCCCCCAAGCCTCAGCCCATGGAACCAGCGGTTACAGTGCTGGAAGGACCTGGGGCTGCTCAGGGCTGGGCAGGCTTCCTGATGTCCAAACTCCCCCCAGTTCATGGCACACTGCACTGGAGAGTAGGCTCCCTGCTGACACGGGGCTGCTATTAAGGCAACTGGCTTATTAATTTCTCCTAATGATGTGAATGCTTCCTCCACTGCAGCTGTGACTCCTGAGGTAAGCAGGGCCCGGCTGTCTGATGCCAGAGCTCCCTGCTGTTGCTGTATTACTGGGGTTACACAACCCCAGAGAAGGGCAGGCTTCCCAGGCCGTGCATGCCATGGGTGTGCCCAGCAGCTTCTGGGTGAAGGAGTCTTCACCACTGCTCAGTCCCCTACTGAGGAACAAAACCAGACAGCATGGGAGTCTCCCAGGCACCTTCCTGCCAAGCAAGGTGCTCCATAGCTGTATGTGGCCCGTGGAAAATAACTGGCTGCTCTGACAGTGGTGGCTGAGCAAGGCAGCCTGCTCCCCCTTTTCCCTGCCACAGATATTTGGGAGAAGCCCCCTCACCTCTAAATGGGGGATCAGTGATAAAGCTTCCTGCAAACCTGTAGGAAAGAAGTTTTTTTGTATTTCTCTCCCCTGGCTGGGTGAGGAGGGTCTCATGTGGCAGGGCCAGGCAAAGGGTGACAGGCAAAGGTGCTGTTCCTGCAGGCAGTGATCAGGCTGGTGCTGCCCCACTACTGTGTGCTCTGGGCTGTGCTGTTTCTGGGTTTTCCTAGTACTGAAGTACCTGTGCTTGGCATTTGTGGTGCTGTTTCCAGGGCTGCTCATCCCTGTTCCTGCAGCTCTTGCTTGCCCTGCTCTGCCATGCCACCATTGGCTGGTTGTCCTGGTTGTCCTGGTTCCCAATGCAGTGCCATCTGTTGAGGTGGTAGCACTGCCTACCTTTTTGTCTCCCTGTGGCTGGGATCTGCAGATCCCTGAGGAGTCATCTCCCTGCCTGCCTGGGCAGGCTGGCTGCTGGGCTGTCCCTGCCCAGTGCCACACTCATCAGCACCCCGTATCTAATCTGCCCCCGTCTCGTGCTCTGCTCGTGGCCACCTGCCTTCCCAGTCAGGAGAGCTGGTTTCTATTCCTGTCCCTTAGCTCAGCCCTTGCTTTGCAGCGTGCCTGGCCTGGCAGCTCTCCAGGGGCTGAGTGGGTGCTCAGCACCCCCAGTTCAGCATCCCCACTTTTGGTGCCTGCAGAGCAGCTCGCAGAGGCCACGAGGGGTGCAATGAATTAAACTGCTGCCATGAAGAGCTTCACGTGGTCCCCAAGCAGCCTACAAGGTTGGATGCCTGCCTACGCCTCCCGCCTGGACTCCTGGAGCAGAGGGAGTCTGTCCAGCCTCTCTCAGCCAGGATGGGGATGGGGACAGTCTGGGCATCAGCCCTGGCAGGGAGAGCACTGGAGCCTGTGGCAAATGCAGCCCTCTGGCACCCTGCCTCCATCGAGGTCCTGCAGGGTATCCAATGGAGCTGAGCTTACAAAGCAGCTGCCCCTTGAACTGGATCCTGTCTCTGAGCTTGCTTCACCACCATGAGGGTGTTTGCTCCACAGCATCCCTGCGTGCATCTGGCACCTTCCTGAAGGGTTCCAGAAATCTCTTCTGCTGCTTATTTGGTTTTTTTATTATTGTTATTCCAGGAAAAGAGATCAGGCTCAGCAAGTATCTAATCAGGAGCTATTCCAGTGCTGCTTTTAAATGCAATGAAGAGCCTTGGTTTTAAATCTCACTATATGGTTTTATTTGCATTTATACTCAAGCCTTTTTTCCTTGAAGAGATTTGTCTAATTACTGTTGGTTGGTAACCATAAAATGTAATAACTGGCAACAAAAGATAATTTCTACACTTAATGCAGTATTTGCTAAGCAATAAGATATAACTGCTTTGATACATACAGGTTATAGTTTATGCTTTTACTTTTTAAACATTGTATTTTTCCATTTTACTAGGTTGTTTGCGAGTGGAGCTGTTACACTTAAATGGAAATTGAATTCATTTAGTGCACCAAAATAGCATTGTAGGAGAGTTTGGGTGCCTTTTCAATGAATCAGAGCAGTGGTTTGACATGCATTCTGTAGGAAGCTGATTTAAGTGAGGTGCTATCCTCAGACAGTGACAGCCTGTGCAGGAGGATGCATCAACACCAGGGAGTCCTGCTCCCATGGGCACTTCCTCTGAAATCCTGGGGGAATCCTTCTCATCTTTGTGCTTAGCTCTCACCTGGGACTCTGTGCACTTTTTCCAGTGGGGGCTGCGGGCTGCAGCCTGCTGCCCTGCTCTCTCCCCCAGTCCCCAGGAGCCAGCCTGCCGTGGGCTTCCTCGCCTTCATCTCGTCCTAAAAGGGATTTTTAAAGTGTTCATGTCTATGGATTGGAGCCAGGTTGGTGTTGGCCTTTGGGGAGCTCAGGCTGCTGTCCTGTCCGACAGGAAGGAGGGTGCAGAGGATGCTGCTGAGAGAGGCAGGAGGGTTGTGGCAGAAGCTTGTTGAGGGGCTTGTCCAGCTGAGGCCCTGCTCTATGTTATTGTTTTGTTCTGCTGTGGCAGAGGATGGAGACCACCACGGTCCCTACTCTGTGACTACCCTGGCACAGCAGTGACTCTGTGCTGTTTGTGCAAACCTTGCTCAGCCCCTCGCCTGGCCCCAGCCCTGAATCCTGGGCAGGGAGCACAAGGCAGGAATGGCCCCGTTTCCTACAGAGCTGGCTTCCTTCACTCCTCTCTGTTTTGGCATTATTTTACCATGTCTGTTCTGGGGTTTGGGTTGATACATGGAGGTCCCTCAGTGTTGTCAGACAATGCTGGAGAGGGGTCGAAGCTGTGGGCTGATGTTCAGAGCCCTCCCTTCCCTCAAGAAGCTGGGAGTAGTGTTTCCCACCCTTGTCCAAGGCAGGGGCTGGTTCTTGGCTGGCTGCATCCCTCCTCCCCTGGGAGCACTCTCTTCCTTTGCCCCTCTTGTTTCCCAGACAGAGGTCACTGCAGTCAGCACAGTCTGATGGGAGCTGCTGCTCCAAATCCACCAGCCCTGCCCTAATGTGGTCTGGGATCTCTGGTTCTCACCAGCACGGGCTGAGCCTGGAGGGTTAGCACAGACACAGGGCAGGAGTGGGGCTGTAGCCAGGGGACCAGCTCTGCTTTGCAGGCTGAAATATAACCAAAGCAAGCTTACCCTTGGTCCCCTATCAGGGAAGCAGATATTCTTATGGTCAGAGGTCATGCTTACAGATCCTGAGACAGTCGTAGCTGCTCTGTTATGGATTCAAGGGTGAGTGCACCTTTACCAGCTGTCCTGGGATGCTGCAATTATCAGGTCTTGGAGAAGCAGGGAAAAGGTGAAGCATTCACACTAACTCTTTCCATTTGCATCTGAAACAAGGACATATTTCCCTCTTGTCTCCTGAAGCTGGTGAGGGCGATGCCTTAGGCAGTACAACCACTGCTTTCCTGGCATGTGGTACAGGAAGCAGAGCTTCTCCAGGAAAACTCCAGAGGAACGAGTTCTGACCTGCATCTCCATAGGTAACTGATAAACAGCTAAAACCATCAGCACCCAGTGACTGGGGCAGCAACAACTGCGCTGGAGCTGGGGATTTCCCGACCTGTGGGGTACCAAGCTCCACAGGAGCTGGACCCCTGAGGATCCCAGCCCGTGCGGGGTTTGCTGGGTCTGCCCCGGCACAGGCACAGGCAGAGTGCTCTGCTCTCCCCTCTGTACAGTAGGTTGCCCTTTTGGATGGATGATAAAACTGGCAAACAAAGCTGTGGCATTGCAGCAAGGCCCTTTGGAGGAGTGGTTTTATTTTAAACTGAAGTCAAACTCGGGTGCTTGTACATTTTAACACCTACGGCTCACAAGGAACAAGTTGCACCTCTGGTGGATTTCCCCAGGTGCTTTGCTTGGTCACTGTGTGCTGGCTTTCCTGTGCCCTTACCCCTCAGGAGCTGACAGATGGGTGATGGGAATCTTTTGTCTGCCTGTCCCCGGGTCATCAGGATTTACTCAGTCCTTTGTTTCCTTGGCCATTCTAAGGCTCTTGCCTTCCCAGCATCATCTCTTAATGTCTTGAATTTTTAGAATGTTAGTCTGGATTAGGCTCTCCTTTGTTTCCTGAGCTGGGTGTGCTGGGCTGGGCTGAGCTGGATGACTTGCTAATTGAGGTGCCATCAACACTTGCCATAGTCCCTTGTTCTTCACCTGCTAATTTAAAATCTCTTCTGCAATTCTCTACAAACCAGGTTTTTCACACCACAGTGCTTTTACACCAGATCGGCCCATCTAGCCGGGAATAATTTTCTTTCACAGTGATGGACACTAGATAATTTTGTGGGAAGAAGCCAAGTGGCTTTTTGGAGAGAAGAGCTTAGGGAAATGCCAGTTCCACTGCTCTCCATTTGCAGACAGCAGGAAGCTGTGCGTGCAGCGGGGTGGGGGAGCAGCTTGTCCCCACAAGCCCTCCTGTCCCACAGCACCTCGTGGCAGGGATGCCAGTTCCTGGCATGCGGGGAGGTGTCCTGGTGTGTAGGGCCGAGACTCATCTGCCTTCCCTCTGACTTTCCTTTTGTGCATAAAATCACCCATTTCCCCCCAAAGTTCAGGGTACCTGGGTTCTGCGGATCCATCAGAAATTCAAACTGGGTTCTGCAATGAACTTTACAGCTTGAGGTTGGTAGAGACATTAGGATCCATTTCTCCTAAAGACCCTCACCCATGGAGCTGCTTGTAAAGACATTAGCACCCATCTTGCCTATCACTTTTCTAGTCAGAAACTGGCATGATGGCTGCAGAGCTGCTCAGGCCTTTGTGCAGGACAGCTCTCCACAAATCTTTCCTCTGCATGACTCAAGTCACGACGTGCCACCCCACGAGAGGCTGTCCCAGACACAGGCCAGCTATTCAGAGCAGCACATAGCCAGGCTTGCCACTGGCCAGGCACCTGGCCACCACCTTTCCTGTTTACCCCGTGGTGACAGCACATCTCTGTCTCTGGAGGAGCAGGAGCAGGTACTGGGGTGTTTACTGAGCAAGCATCCACCAGTGCCGAGCCAGCATCCGGAGCTGCTGGGATCCCACCCCGTGCTCAACAGCAGTGCTGTGTGTTTAGGGCTGGAAATTGTCACTTGAATACCTGGGCCTTTTGGTGCCTGGTCCCAGGAGACCCAGCACTCAGCTCTTTTCCTTCCAGGTGTATTGGCGTATCCTACACCTGAGCTCCATGGCAGAGCAGCTCACTTTATTTGGGAGCATCTTCTGGCCATGCACGTCTGGATCCAGGCAAGCCAAAGGGAGCATCACTTAGGCCTTTGGTCTTCGTGTTCAAGTTGCCCCAGCTGGGGTTCCCCGTGAGAGCTCTTTCTCTGAATGTGCTGAGCAGGGCTGTGCATCCCTGCGGGAGCCCTCCTGGGACTGGGGCCCCGGGCCGGGGAAGCACAGCTCCATCAGGCTGCTCCAGGGCTTTGCATTCTCCAGCTGGTCAGGGTACTGCAAAGGTCTTGAGAGAGCCATGTATTGTGTCTTTTTTTAGGGCCTGTTAAATGCTGTAGCTAGAGAAGAACTCTGATAACTCTATCTGTTCTGAAGAGCTTTTAAAAACTGCTGAAAACAGTATAAGAATGGGCTGCTTTGCTGGTGGATGAGTGTTTCTTGCTGATAGCATCTGCTTTGGATGCTTCTTCACTGTGGAGAGAAGGGGCATGATGATGGATTTGCTTCATCACCTTTATTTTTTTCTGTAATTAGCTCATCAGTCCTCTGTGGCTTGGATAGAAACTTTTAACAGAAATTGTCATAATATTGACCATGAGACATTTTTAAATTGGTGAGTCCATCCTGATGTGGCTACATTTCTCTCTTTTCTTCCTGTTTATACTCTGAAAAACCCTCACAGGATCTGTGTTTATGAACAGGCAGTGTAAGAGCCTTTTGGTTTTCCTCCTCCTGCATGCTGTCAGATGCTGTCTAGCAGCTGTGGATCTGGGGGGGATCCTTGCTTGCCACAGGTTCCCTTCAGGGAAGCTGCCCCTTTTTGATGAGCGAGAGGCTGAGTAGCTCCCTATTTCTATGACAACAGTTGTATTTCATGGTGGTGATGTGTTCATAAATATCTCACGAAGGCAGCTCCCAAAGCACACCCCAGCCCTGTTAGCTGTAGTACTCTTGCTACCCATTTCACCTTTCCCTCCAGCAGAATCCCACACTACTGCTAAGGTGGCTCACAATATGTGCTTTGCCTTTGCTATCCACAGTCTTTTTAAATATCACTTCTCTCTGCTTCATTGGGCCAGAGGAGCTAGAGTCTTCTTCCACATTTTCCTCACTTGTATTTTTTCAGCACCACTTTTGACTCTTTCTCAATGACCCAAAGAAGACTTATCTAAATTTCTTACAGAATCAGTTCTCAGGTGATACTTTTAACAAACCCAAATCCTCTGAAAATGTTTAAAAGTTGCTCAAGGAGACAGGAGGGTAAAGAAAAAGTCCCCTAGAACAGGTTCCTGCCTCAAAAACAGAGGACAGAGGAGCTGTTTGAATCCCTTTCCCAAGTGTGAACCTGTGCTGGATTTGGAATTAAGGGGATAGAGAAGTTCCATTTCTCCCCTTCCCCTCTGTTTCTCCTCTCACTGTGGGATCGCTGACAAACCTCTCTGTTCCACAGCAGAGGGTCAGAAGACAGCAGAGGCCTTGGTGTCACCGTCACCTTTTCCTAGCACAGCGCTAACCTCGCTTCGGCCACGGGAAGCCTCTGACTTCAGCCCAGTGCCTACTGCCATTCCTCAGACCAGCCTGGAGAAAAACCTGACTGCTGCAACACCCAGTGCCACGGGGGCCCATCCTGCAGAGGTGGATGATGCCTTCATCCCCACCACCCCCATGGCAAGCTCCAAGCCAGAGAGACTGCAGGCTTCTACCACTGCCAGTCCTGGGGACATCACAGCTACACGTCCTGAGCATGACAACATGAGCTTGTCACTCAACAGCAGCGCTGAAATCCCCTCTCCTACCTTGACTGCCAGCACTCTGGAGGAAAACCAGCCCAGCCATGAAGCCACAGAGCCTTTCAGCACAACTGGAGAAACGGATGATGCCAGCAGTGCAGCCCCCACGCCTCCTCTGAGCACTGTGCCAGGTGAGGTTTTGCCTTTACTGCCTGTGCACAAGGTCCTGCCTCAAGGATGCACAACCTGAAGTGTCTGAGCACTCTTCTGCTAACTGGAGAGAGGGAGAAGAAGGGAGTGAGACACTAAGCAGAGCCAGTTCAGTGCAACTTATTTGCAGAGCTGTTAGTTCAGCATCCTCTTTGGAAACATCATTAATTTTGGTATTAATTCTGCTGGCTGCTTTCTGATTGATTGTGTGCAGAGACATCCTTCATAGATCTAATCTGAAACAACATGCCTTAGCAGCACTGCCCAGCTGGGCCTTTCTGGCATCAGGGTTGGGGGCTCAATGGGAGCCTCCCTGGAGAAGCACACCCTCCCTTAACACAAAACATGGGGATGGGCAGGCACAAGTGGCAGCTCATCCATCCCTGGGCAACCACAGGAAACCCTACCCTACCTTCAGATCTCTCTGGGCAGCAAGGGGACTGGCTATAGGGTCTGCAATCCCAATTTTGTCCATCTTGGGGCCTGCCAGGCTGTCACACACCCCTAATGCAAGGCAGATACTGATTGATCACTGATTTACTTGGTGTTCATGCACAAGTGCATTGTTTTCCCTGGCTTGTGTCACATGGTCCTGCTGTTCACAGCCTCAGGGGGTGCTACTACCCAGTGTCTTGCTCTGGGGTGATCCTCAGCTGTGTGTAAAGTTGTTTAAGCTTGTCTGCTTGTCCTTTGTCCACAAGGATAGGCCTTGTGGGCCCAGCTGAGGTTGGCTGACATTGCAGATTGGCACATATGAAAACTGAGAGGACTTTCTAAGCACTGTGGGTTATAGTGTGGCTCAGCTATGGCTGTGCTAAAAGCTCTGCTTGTTTTCCAAACGGTTGACATTAAGCTGGCTATTCCTATTGTCCCAGCAGTCTTTCTTACAGTCTTGTCAAGTCCCACAGAACAGTGTGCTTGCACTGGACCCTTTGAAATAACTGCTTGTTCCTATTTTGCAGCAACAACTAACAGGTCTCACTCAGGGCTTTTTGATGGGCAGACCCTGAGGCCCACAGCAGCAAGGTCTGAAACCAAGCCAGGAACGAGCCCTGTGGGTGCCACAGAGGAGAGCACTGTGGAGCTCAGAACTTCCTCTGCTCCCATCTCCATTGTAAGGAGCACATCCTTTGCTACTGCCTCCAGTGCTGTGACGGTGACACCCCTCGTGACCAGCTCCACGTCTGCCAGCACAGCTGCCATCCCCACCAGCACGCCTGCACTGGCACAGTCACTGGAGCCCAGGCATGAGAAGACTTCTGTGCTGGATGTTGGTGATGATGACAATTCAGGTAAATGCTGTGCTTTTAATGGGCTGCCCAGGGAGGTGGTGGAGTCACCATCCCTGGAGGTGTTTAAGGAAAGACTGGACGTGGCACTCAATGCCATGGTCTGGTTGACAAGATGGTGTTAGGCCATAGGTTGGACTGATAATCACAGAGGCCTTTTCCAGCCTAAGAGATTCTGTCATTGTTTTGTACCTGTTCTCACAAAGCATGGCAAAGGGCTGGAGCTACCTCAAATTGCCTCTTGGTTGTACTGAGCAGAACCAGTAACGACAAAGCTTTGCTGTTCCAGCCCTTTAAGGCTCTCCCTTGGTCTCCTTGCAGAGCTACCCAATCTGGCTGGTAAGGCGAGGGCTGACCCCCTGGTAATCACTGTGATCTCTGTCTTCATTGTCATGGTGGGCATCCTGGGCCTGGTGGGCTTCCTGCGATACCGCCAGCACAACAACCGCATGGAGTTCCGGCGGCTGCAGGACCTGCCCATGGTGAGTCCTGCCTTCAGCCCAGCCCCCTGTGGGCTGCTCCACTGACTGCTTTGCAGTTCTCCTTCATTAGCAATGCTTTGGGTATTTGCAGCAGCACCAATGCTGATCACACACTCCTGTTCCTCCTTAGGTCCCTCTCCTTCCATCCAAGGTTTGAGTCAAGACAGCAAGTCTCAAGGCTGGGCACTAAAGAAGCTCTCTGCCTTCCCCTCACTGCAGGGGAATGCTGAGAGGTTAGAGAGAGGAAGGAGAGCTCCATCCAGGCTTGTCCTGAAATGACACCTTCCTAACCTCTCCTCCTGTTTTCTCATATATTTGCTTTGTAACTATGACAAAGCAGATTTTATGCTCTGTTCCAGGGAGGTTGTCTGTTTGTCTGTCTGTCTGTCTGTGTTTGACCCTTTGGGAATATAAAAATATATGAGGGTTCCAGAGGCTGGTCTAGCTCTGGGGAAGCTGCATATAACTCCCTGAACTTTCCAGAACAGAGGAGTACTGCAGCTAAGCAAGCAAGCTGATGCTGTTTCAAGCTGAGTGGAGTTTTCAACAGCCAGAGTTTTCCACATCCCTGCAGCAGGCAGGCAGTTCCTGCACACACCTCTTCTCTCCAAATGCTGCAGCAGGAGGGAGACTGACAATCCAAAGATCCAGGAACTGCACAGTGACAGCGTTTAGGTGGATGACTGGGCACATGGCCACACTGTGAGCTGTGGCTGAGGAGGCTGTGCTGCCTGCACAGCAGTCTCCCAGGCTGGGACCATGATACCACCGTGCAGACATCTCATTAAAGCACCCTCTTCTCTGCTTCTAGGATGACATGATGGAGGACACCCCTCTCTCCCTCTACAGCTACTAGGCAACCAGGCTGTCTACTGCCCAGAGGAAAAGGCCTTGAGGACTTGGTCCCAGAGGATCTGCTGAGGAATGAGGGGCTGTGATTTGCACACAACTGAAAGATCCTTTTCAGATGGTTTTTGGTTTTAGATGTTTTAAATAGTTCAGTGTTGAAGTTTCTATGCGACGAATCAGAGCCCAAGTCTGACCCTTTTCTCCAGGCTCTCCTCAAAACACTGCCCTGAAGAGGTGTCTCCTCCTTTTAGTGTGGCAGCCAATTAGCCAAGACAACCTTTGCCATGGTGTTCTGCATGGATCTCTTCTGTTGATCTTGGTGGCTGCTGCCTTCAGAGGTGGTGGGGAGGTGTTTCAGACTAGGGCTCTTAACACTGGTGGTGTCAGCACCATGCCAGCAAAGGAGACTGCTGTTTTCTGAGGAAGCCAAGGATGTGGAAATCAGTTTTCTTGGGCTCCCTCTTGTTCTGTATTTTTAAGGTTGCTTGTTTTGGGGGTTTTCTTGCACTTTTTTTTTGTTCTTGTTTCAGCTTTAGTCCCAGGATTGGCATTACCCATCCTGACACACCTACAGGAGGATAAAAGACTACTCTGCTTCCTTCCTAGTTGCATACCTTTTCTCTTCAACCAGAGAAAAGAGTTTTGTGGCCACTGGAGAAGTGCCCCTGCTACTTGATGTTGCTTTGAAGTTGCTGGGAGGAAATTGAACATAATGTTAGCTTAACCGAGCTTGATAGGACTCAGTCTATTGCCAATTAGACACACTAATTTGGTCTCACCAAAATTAGGAAACCGTGTCTCCTACACTTGATGCTTTTGGCATATGTGCAAACTCCTTTCCCAGGCTCAGTAAATGCTTTAATCAATTTCCCTGCCTGGGCTAACACAAGCCTTTCCTCAGGTACCTCCCGTTTTGCTTCTAGCATCTGGTTGCTGGAAGTTGTTGTACAAAGCTGGTGCTTTGCTCTCCCTCCTGTGCTATGCAAGGTCAGAGCTCCTCTACTTTCTGATGTTGGTCTTTTGAGCCAGTTGGTGTCTTGTCACGAGGACAGATCCTGGATGTAGGTGCCTTCCTCCCCTTCCCTTTCTTGGTGTTATGCTGATTAGATTCTGCACTTTTGCTTCAAAATATCACTGCTGTAGACTGCATCCAAGGCTCTTGAGGCCTCTCAAGGAAACCCATAGACCAGAGCCTCTGAGTGTAAATCAGAGGAGCTTTTGGTGCCCTTGCCTCAGAAAGACTGGAGTGTGTGTGACATGACAGTCTTCATGTAATTACACCTGCTCCTGTTTTCTGACTCACATTTGACTGCAGGAAAATAGAAACACATGCCTTCTCTAGAGTGGTTGATTTTTGACTAAGCCAGTTGCTCCCTCAGGATACAGCAAGGGCTAGAGTTCATCTGCCACATTGCTCTACAAGCCTCAGTTTCTCCTCTCCTTTCAGCAGCAACATCACTGAACCCTACAAAGGACAGATACCAGGCCTCACTTGCAAAAGTACCTTTTTTAGTTCTCTTCCCAGTGCTGTTATTGATTGTCATAGCAGGGAAAGGGGACATTCCCCATCAGCTGAGCTCAAGTTACCTGGAAAGCCCAAAGGTGGAGCAGAAGGGGTCTGGCTCAAATAGATGAACTGGGTAAGGCAGCAGCTCCTCCTGCCTGTGCTGCTGCTTCCAGAGTGGCTGAAAATGGCTGCAGTGCAGCTGGGCTTCAGTTTGGCCTTCCATCTGTGTATTGATGCCCAGTGAAATTGGGAAGAGGGTTGGTTCTCTCCTATGATTGCATGAGAACTAAAGAGCAATTGTCACAACTCCAAGGCTTTTGTATCAAGCATTGTCTGCACAGAGTGATCTCCCTAGCTACAGACTTGTTTCCCCTGCCGGAGGGCAGGGTGCTGCTGGTTTGCGGCACAAAGTTGGCAAGTTAGTGGTGGAAAATAGAACTCCATCCTGGCTGGAACTGGTGCAGGCTGGCATATCTGGGAAGTGTGTCTGCACACAATCAAAAGGGCAGAGGCTGGTTGTTCTGGTTTCCCATGCATCGCTGTGCAGGGGAAAGGGGTGAGGAAAAACTCGCCCAACACCAAAGTGCAACTTTGTTTGTAAAATATGTTCATAGTGGATTTTTGTTTTCTGCAATAAAGTTACAAATGCCAAAAGTGTCTCAGTCCTCATATTTTCATTGCAAGCATCTAACTAAAAAGCTTTTATAGATCACAATGAATCCTGTGATAGATAAACAGCAGCAGTTTGGGGCACAAAGACTCACAGGGCTGATAGCTAGAAAATGCCAGACAGCCATGAACCACAGCTCTGACAGTTCAGAAGGACACCACCCCCTGCCTGTGTTCCTACTTGTCAGGGTCATTCCTGGTCTGGGTCGACTGAGATTAATATGTATACAGTTAAATCAGATGAAATGTGTACTAGAGAACCACACTAGACCAAATAATCCAATCTACACTTTAGACTCTCTTCCTTTGCCTCTGATTGGAGATATTCTCATGTTGTCAGCTGTAACCCCAAACCTTATTTACAGAAATATCCTGAAAGCCAGCCTAATCCAAACCTAAATAGCGTCTGTCATGCTTCTTTCATGATGCTATTTAGTACAGCAGACAAAGCAAATTGAAAGGCACTTTTTTTTTAGTTTTATAGATGTTTTGAACTCTTTCCCTTCAGAGCTCAGACCCACAGGGAGGTAAGGGTTCAAAAGCCCAGCTTCTGCTACAGACCTGGTGAGAGTCTCTCCTGAGCTGAGTCTCCTAGCTGTTAAAATACTTTGGCAAAATCAGTCAGCTCATGTCATAGATTGCTTGTATTAAAGATTTTCTATTGCAAAAGCAAAATGTGGTGAGTGAAACTTCTTGGTAATTTGGCTTATGCTGTTTTCTAAAGAGTTCCCACAACAAATCTAGAAAAGCAAATCCTTGGAAGATCTAGAGCAAGGGGAGAGCAAACAAAGACTTTGTAGCCTAGCAAAGTGCTTGCTGAGTAATCTGAAGACATGAGGGTGAACTCTAAACCCTGCAGAGATTTCAGTCCTGTCCCAACACACAACCATACAAACCAAAACAAACATGCCACAACTAAGCCAGTCTTCTCAGGTCTAAAGTCAGCATTATTCTGGTGGTTTATATTGGAGTGTTCTCTGCTCTGCCTTTTTACCACCAAACCCACTCAGAGCTGATTCATTCTCTGCACAGCAAACTGAGCAGAGCAGGGCTGTGTTAGCTGAGGAGGCACAGCAGGACAGGCTTGTGCAGGCAGCCACCCCTGGGACACACAAAGCTTTGTGCCTTTGCCCAGCTGAGTTCTGACCTTCCAGCCAGGCAATGCATCCTCTGGGGTGGCCAGGTTTGGAGATGGAGCATGGGCCACTTGTGTGGGCTTCACCTTTCCTGTGCAGCAAAGAGAACTGACAGAACCAGAAACCAGCTGTTGCCAGCTTATGCATTTCTCCTTGAACACAGCTGTTGCCTCTGATGGGGTTTAGTTTTAATGCCTCTTAGGCTAAGGCATGATTGTATTTCTAATTAGCAAGAGACCAAAAGTCAACCTATTCACTGGGGTTTAAAGTCAGAAAGAAAGAAATACAGGTAAGAGAAAACCAGAGTTTGAGACCCATCTGCCTCCTGTGACCTTCCCTCCTCCTCTCTCCATACACATGTTTTGAAGGGAAGGGGATCTGAGAAGCTGAGAAGTGACAGTCCTCGAGCTGCTGTGCCATGGGCAGGGCTACCTGTGCTTCATGCCATTTCTCTGCCCACGCAGCTGTCCTTCAAGTCTCAGTGTCTGTATTTTAGCTTTGGACACTGTATTAAACCATCATGTCACATTGCAAGTCTGTAAATAAGGTTACAGAGGGTGTTCAGGGACAGAAACTGCCACGAGGAGCACTGGAGTGGACAAGGCAGTGTGTGGGTCTTGTAAGACAGATCATCCATAAGGATTTCCCATGGATAACAGTCTGCTGTGCTTGTTACCACTTAAAGGAGAATGAAAAAGACATTCCACTGATCCAGGGAGCAGGAGTACAGAAGGAAGCCAGGGAGGCAGAGCAGTAAATTTTCAGTAATGAAGACTATGAAATTATACAGAACCTGGACAATTTTACTAGCCAGTGTTCTTCTTATACCCAGGGGAGAACAGAAATGCTACTGTTATTTCCCAGACACGTGTGAAGGAAACAGGAGGCTGCACACCTCTGCATTATTTATCCTTAATTTTCTGTAACTACATCAAATCAGTATAAATGTGGACTTGTCATGGGGGAAGGAAGACAGTGCACCTCCTGAGCCTCTGCCCAGACGTTCATGTGCTTGCTACCTCTGCTTCACTGCATAGCAGAAGTGAGACAGGAATCTTATTTCCAATATTCCTTTCCATCCCCCACTAAGAAAACAGAAATCACGCACTTACTGTCCATAAAACAGCCAAATTGTCAGTCCTACTGATACATACCAAAGTGATAAGCAAAGCTGGAAGACCATGACTGCAAATATAAAAGTCTCCCAGCAGTTTCTCAAAATTGGTTGTGGTTTGGTTTGTTTTAATCTCCCAGAACTTTGTAATGTAACAACGGGCTTCAAAGTTCCCCACCCAAACACATTTGAATGAAGACTCTTCCTCACTCTAGTACTAAAGGGGTCATGTTTCCTCAGACCTGAAAAAAATCAACCTTCATCCAGAGCACAACTTCAAAACAATGTCAGAAGATTAATCACTTAGAAGCTCCAAGAAAAGGACCTTCTAATTGTGCCTGGTGACAGAGAGCTTGTGAAGTAGATCCTCTATTATAGTTAATTCTGCAACATTGGTAAGACTTTATAAGACATCATTAACTACTGCACGAAGGAAGAATAGATAGGTCGATAATCTTATGCATTTTAAATACAAAGGGATTGATTTATTCATCTGCCTGACAGCCTGCAGTTTTCCTTGTGCTTGTTCCCACTTCCTGTCCAATAAGTGTATTTGATACTCAACGCAGGTCTGCGTCACATGCCCCAGCATTTTAACAATGGTTAGCCTCAGTTCCTCTGTAATATTTTTCCTATTCAATGACCCATCAGCCAAATAACCCCCTGAACCACAAAACCAGCTTGATCTTGATCAGACTGACAGTGGTCACAGCTGCAAGAAAACAAGTACATGTTTGTTCCTACTGTTCAGCTCCCTCTCTGTTTACAGGTAGACCAGATTCCCCACCCTCAGATCAAATAAAGAGCTAAGTTAGTTTCCAGAGGTATCCTCCCAGTCATAAAACAGGTCTCCCTGTGATGAACTGCCCAGAATTAATATATCCCTGCAGCAGAAGCCTTTTGCTTGCTCTCTTTGAACTACAATGGAACATCTGTTGACAATCTCCCGCAGGGTAACTTCTCTCCTCCCCTGTTTTAATCCTCTCTCTCTTTCAGAAGTACACATCAGCTGCCACAGGACGACTCTCAGAAGCATTGGAGTGTTTCCTTTCACTGGTCTTTCTTGGGACTAGTAGGAAGAGGGATGATCAGTCAGCTCTGATCAGTATTTTCTTCAAAATTTACTGTTATGTCCTGAAGCTTTTGATGCTGAGTTACAGGTTCTGCTTGGAACATGACAAGATTCATGGGTTCTTGAACATTACTTTCAGCCAGATTTAGACACTCATTTGATTCTGACTGAGAAGAGTTTTACTAGGGACAACTGCAAATGAGCAAAGTGTTCCTTTGCACTAGTCCTGGCTATGCCTGCTGATCACACAGACAAATAAACACAGCTAATTGCTAATTGCTTCAATTTCCCTTCTGATAATCTTAGGGGCAGGATGAGACATTTTGCCCACTTTTTCAAAAGGATCTCAATATTTTTAGGTGGAAGGCAACTGTGGACAAGACTATTTGTGGCTTTCTAGCAGAAAGGGAACCTGTTTTCACAAAGGACTTAGAGATGCACTGGGAAAAGAGCATCCTTTATTTTACAGAGTCTAAGTTGGTGTCATTCATTCACTTCTTCCCTTCTCCTTCAATAGACAGCAATTATAAAATTAAGTTATCTCAGAGGGAAATGGAATAAAAAAATTCAAACCACATAAGGAAATTTCACAGAGCCCTTTTCTGTCACTGTGGCACTCCATTCTCATAAAACAAACCAGCAACCTCCCCCCTATGAGCGTCATGGAATTTTCTGTTCAAATAACAACATTTCTCCACCTGTTTTGTGGCACACAAGAGGAAGCATTTTACCAGCACTTGTCAAGTCAGCTGCTCCATATTGGGTTGTGACAGGGTAAATCTGTGGTCATTCTATATCTGTTCTGTTCTTGCTGTGCATAGTCTCCCTAAAAGGAACAATCCAAGCTCAGCCCTACATCCCAGAGCTTTAGATAGCCAACAGTGTAAGAACAGCCCAACATCACACAAAACTTACTGTATAACTGGGAGAAAAAACCTAAACATTTGAAGGCATTAGTAGAGAAAACACACTAAATTCTCTCAATTTGTTCTGGTCCACCAAGTGTGAGCTCAGAGGACAGAATCATATATCCCATCCCATGGGAGAGGGCTGAAGCAGAGAACTGTAGCTAGGAATTCTCTGACCTTGGAGGAACACCCCCACTGTAGCCAAGCACCACAGCATCTCTCTCTCTGCAAGCCAGCTGGCAGCTGCCAAAGCTGATTGACAAATCACAAATCAGGCCCTGCACCAGTGCCTGTCCCCTGCAGAGAAGGAGCAGAACACACAGAAAGGGTAGAGGGGGCAGGTCTGAACAAGGGGACATGAGATGGCAAACACAGCTCGGGTCTCTGGCCGAGTGTGGGACTGGGCAGACTGTGAATGATTTCTCAAAATGGCTGTTTCCCTTCCTGGAGCTGCCCCCCTTGGATCAGCCCCACACCTCACAGCTTCCACTTGTGGAAAATCCAGGGCACAAACAAGTCAAGAAGAGTTTGCCCATCCAGGGAAGCCAACATCCTTTCCATTTTCAGTTGTTCCCGACACTAAAGAGTGCATCTTTAGTTAACATTAAAGGTCATGCAGCTCCAGCCCAGGCAGGTCATTGCTGAGATCATCACTCCAGCTATTTCTAGCCACTTCTCCAGCACTGCTTTCTGCCAGCTCAAAACACAGCCTGGAGATACATGTACAATCTACACCAAAAGACCAAAGAATTATCCTT